ACTTGGCCATATTTATTTGCTGTTAACCCGGTTCTTGCCCAACAAGCTTGCAGGTAGACCAACGGAGAGCTTTCCGAATTCTATGACCTGATAACTACTCGCCAGGATCAAAAATTACAACATGGTTGGTGAATGGAATCAAATCGACATTTGAAACCAGAGACCTAGGTCTAACCTATAATATTGGACCATACAGGCAGTCTTGTGGATGACATCAGCCCAGTGGGGTTAGGATACGGTGGCACATGAACGCCTTGACCAGAGATTGCATTACAACTGACCCCGTGCAAGAGGATCGGCATTACACAGGGACTGGGACAGACAAACATTGCTCAGTATTACAAAGAATAAGAACTTGTGCGGAAACATGATCACTCACATCCTGAAGGGATACGCTTTTAGAAAAGGATAAGAGATTGTGTTTCAATGTTTCGTTTCATTCCCCTCTCTGCCAAAACAGGTTCTCTGCTGTAGCCAAAGTGACGACATTAACATATATTATGTTACTATTGACCTATATTGTTCTTAATTTTTATCAACACTCTTCCCAATGTCATCATTTTTCAACTTGGTATCTTTACTGATAATTGTGAGGTCACTTACATCATAGCAGCAGAAATAGCCTTGTGTTCACAGGAAAGAAAAACATACGTCACAAGAAGAAAAAAAAGATATACAGAGATAACTGTAAAAGCATTCTTAAATTTTAAATTAAATTCATACAATTTTTTGTGTACTAGCGTATGTGTATTTTTGGTTACAAGTATTTTAAGGTTGCATGTGATAAAAGGAAGAAGATTGATTTTGTATTATTACAATGTCCCAGAGAGAGAAGTTGGACGTCTTGATTGTACAATGGTCTGTAGCAAAGAGAGTGAATTCATTTTTTTTTTCTGGCAAGAACAGTTTCTGTTGTATGCTGGGAGAATTTTTATTATTTCTATTTGTTTTATTTATTTTGAACAATATTATTATGTTAGTTGTTTCATTTTGTTTTATTTATGATATTCATTATTATTTTATTTTTTATTTATAATAATAATAATGACACTACATTGTACAACTATACTATTTACTTTTCTTAATGCTAAACCTGACTGATTAAATTGGCAGCTGATCTCCAAAATTACCTACAGCCTATTGTTAACTCAGGCAAGAAATGGCTTCTTAATTTTAACACCTAATATGAAACTGCTCTCTCTTGATCATCTTTTTTTTATCCTCCATCAGCATGGCTGATGCTAACCACCAGGAGAGTCACTCATTGCACCTTCATGAGATTATGTTTACTGCTAACAGGAAGTGGAAAGATTATATTCAATCAATTGCTAGGAAAGTTGCTTAACTGTATCGTGCTGGATAATCTTCTCACTAAAATCTATTTTACACATCAGTCTTTCATCAACCCATTGAATATTGCAGTTATATCTGGTCTGGTGCTTCTGCTATGTATTTAGGTATTGTATTTAGAGATCCAAAGGTTCTGCAATGTTATTAGTTCTGACCTGGCATCTCAGCTTCATTTTCCCACAGCCGTAATCTAGTTTCTCTCTGCTTTTTCTATAAATATTTTCATGCTAATTGTTCTGATGAGCTTTCCTCTTTGGTACCTAGACTTTATGAATTTAAGCCATAATATAGCTTCCCTCTGCCTTTTCTATAAATATTTTCATGCTAATTGTTATGATGAGCTTTCCCCCTTTGGTATTTTGACTTTATAAATTTAAGCACAATACTAGGTTCTAGGTTTTTTCATTTTATAGTTGAAATGTAACCCCAAGTTCTATGCTAACAATTTCTTCTCTCATACTTATCACTTTTGGAACTCTCTACCAGCCTCTTACTTTCCAGTAAACTTTGATCTTCAAAAATTTCAATGCAATGTCAATTGTTATCTTTTGGCGTTTTAATTCCTGTTTTTTTATTGTTCCCTTTCCTTAATAATGTTTTTTTCTTTTTCTCATGTTCTTTGGCTCCTTGCATCTTAGTAGCTTTATTGTCTTGTTTGTGATGAAATAATTTTAAAAATTGTGTCGGTGTTTAATTTTTGTTCTTGACTTCTGTGGTGTGTGTTGTCGTGTATCAGTTTCATCATTTATAGTTTAGTTCTTCATGCTACATCACCATCAATTCCAATATATAGGTTGGCATCATAAATAATTTTCTGTTTATCCATTTGCAATTGGCTTAATTCCCTTTGTAATAATCCCAATCCTTTACCTATTTTATAATGATGATAAATTAATTGACTAATTAAATCATATTCTCTTGGCATCACTTTAAATGCATACCTTTTTTTTTTTTTCAATATATCAAAACTATAATTTTGTAAAGTGAAAATTTCACATGAATATATTGGAAAGTTTCCAAGTTTCCATCAAAAATCTATAAAATAGGAATTTTAAGCAAAATGGTCACAATAGTGTAGAGTTTAAGTTTTGATTCCAAAATTAAGTTCACCCTATTTATTTGAACTCGAATAAATAAATCCTATTTAAAGCTATTTATTGCTGTTTATATTTTATTATGAAAAAAAGGCCAATTTTATTAATAAATTGTCACAGCTCAAGATCAAATGTAGAAAATGTTTGTTTGTAAGCTACATCGCCTTTAGAAAGGTAATTTATATTTTTGTTGATTGCTAAAAACAAAACCTATGATGACAAGGGCGACTGCAGTGAAACTTTATATCAGGTATGTAATAAAGCTGCAACTTGTCAAAACACCACTTTCCAAACCTTTGTTACTTTTCATCACACCTTCCTTAGTCACTGGATTGAATTTTAATTTGGCATTTTGACTTCATTAAACAAGTGTTCTGCGACATTTCCTATAGTTTGCAAGGTTTTTTGTGCGTTGTAATTTTGGATTTAGTCATTTTTATTAAAAGAACCATAAAGAAGTTGATTTTGTGCCATGCTAACAGAAGTACCATTTAATATTTAGAAATGGCAAAGAAAAAATTCTTGATATTCTTCTTTCTGCTCCTGGATATTACCAGAATCAGGGTAAGTCAATTGATATATAAAAAAAAATGTCTACTTGTCTGTCTGTCTACTTTTCTTCCTTTTCATTTTCTACTCCTTTTGTTTAAAAGTTCTCATCTTTGAAAAACTCTTGCCTTGGGAAACTTTTATGGTAGATAATGAATTTTAGTTCAAAGCAGTTTTTGCTTCTTGAAGAAATGAAAACATACACACACACACATGTATTATATAAAATATTAACCAAATATTAAGAATTTTTAAATTTTGGAAATTTAGAAACTTCAGTCTACTTTCTAATAATGTAATTTGTATAAAATCTAAGAGACTGTTCAATAAAAATACAATTTATTAATTTTCACCCATTGCTGCTGTAATTAATTCGTATCACAAACCTGTTAATAAGTCAGGCACAAGTTTTGCTGAATAAATATTGGGTCCAAGGTTGTAAAAACAGTTTCTCAAAAGATGAACCATTGAGAGATTGATAAACTCTAAAAAGAAAGGAAAGACTAACTTGAGGGGAGCCATCCCATTTCTAACATACATACATATATACAAACAGCTACCATTTGATCAAAGAACTTTCTGAAAAAAAAAAAAAAAAAAGAAATTTAAATTGCTTTTGATTCTATTTACTTGTGTGATGTAAATAAATATGATAAAATCTATAGTTTTCATGTTTGCTATATTTATGGTTAAAAGTGCTCTATATCAGGGATAGAGTTTGTGTAAATATAAGAATAGATACTGAGGTCAACACCAAATGGCAACAGTTTGTTTAATGCTTGAAAACAAAAGGAGAGTAACATGAACTAAAGATTGCATTTACACATTAAACAGTCTGTTGCCACTTGGCGTTGATCTCAGTGTTCACTCTTATATACAATTTTGAATTTGCTTCTTGTCACTTGATTTTATATTATCTAAGTGTTGTTTTTAAATTATGTTCTCATCATTTGTTGTTGGTGTCAACTCTTGTTGTTTAAAGTAGTTGTCATAATTCATTTTTACCCTTTCTTTTTATGCATCGTCCTCTTTTTGCGTATAGTTTAATATATTATTAGCATCATTTCTTATTGTGTATTTTTCTTATTGTTTTTGATATTATGTTTTGTTCTCAAACCTTTTTATATAATGTTCTTGTCTTTCCTTATTATTATAATTTAATTCATTGTCTTTGTATTATTGCCATCCCTTGTTAAATGTTGTTTTCAAGCATTACTATTGTTTTACTTATGCCTTTTATGCTACTATCATTCCCTTGTGTACTCTTTTTCATCACCTCTTATATATGCTGTTCTCTTTCTTTATATGAGATGCTCTTTACATCCCTTACTCTTATGTTGTTTTCTTTCCTTTATATTGTTGGCCTCTTTTCATTCCTTTTTGTCATGTGATACTTTCATTCCTTTGTTATATTCATGGATAATCCATGTCTAGGGGATTAAAGCATTGGTTTGTCATAATAATTCTGAGTTCAATCCCTGGATTGGGCAGTGTTTACTTGGACTTAATGGAAACTGGGTGAGCAATACTAAATGAAAAACTGGCAAGGTATCCCTAAACATAGACAAGGTAATGAGAACAATCTACCACAATAGATTGAATAATGGGTTCAGTTTGAAATTCTATGTAGGTTACCTTGATTAACATACACCTGCTGAAGACTGGTGGGCACAATGATTGAAACACTGTAAAAGTAGTTATAAGACGAGGACAATAGTCACCGTGTAAATAATACTGTTTTTTGTTTTTTTTTATTTATTTAGATTACCAAAGGGAATACTTTCTGTTGATTGGCATTTTATTGTTTGACTGCCAGAATATATAAACCATTTTTGAGTTACCCGTAATTAGCCACACGATACTGTAGTTACTATATTCAGCATTAGAATTTTTAAATTGCTTTCTGATAAGGATTCAAAATTGTAGGAAAGGGGAGATTCTCTTGTGACTATCACTGAAACCTTTTGAAATAAAAACTTTATCTTACAGACTGACTTACTGCATCAAATGCCTGTGGACATTCAAAAGTTTGCTGCAGAAAAACGTCTTCCACATGGTAAGCACAACTTTCAAGAAAAACTTTTCTTACAAGAATTTTGTTGATTTAAGCAATTGTAAGAAAAATAAATTTCAAAAGAGACACAAAATTTTGTTAGGAACTGACAATTTATGAGGAGGTATCAAAAAGTTCCAATGCTTTATGTACTATAATTGTACGATTCAATGGAAATATATGCACAGCTAATGCTCATTGTTACCCAGCCTAGTGAGTCAGTCTGCTTTGTACAATCTACTGCTGTTTAATTATTATGTGAGTGATGTAATGGAATAAACTGTCACCCCCATGAGTGACTACACTATAGGTAGTAACTACCTATAAGTATCCGTAATGCAACAGATTACAGGGAGACTAGCTGGGATCTGTTGAGTATGACTCAGACTTACGCAAGAACTACCGACCTTCTAATAGCAGCACTCACTACTGAATTGACTTGTGATGATCGTGCGCATAACTGTTACCGTTATTCTTATTGTATTGGTTTTTACAATAAACCTTTACTTATTTATCCACCGTGTTTGTCAAGTATATATTCCTATTAACATGGAATATAACAGTGAGATTGTTTTGTTGTAATAGCTCTGCAATATTTACAATGACTGATAAATTCAAGTAAGATATTTGCATCAAATTTTGCATGAAGTTCAGTAAATCTACTATTGAAACTCTTGAAATGCTTTGTCAGGGTCATACCAATGATTCTTTAGAAAGTCAGTTTTTTGAATGGCATTTCATAGTTGTTCCATTTAGTGTATATATATAATATATATATATATATATATGATATCAAAAAGTTCCTAGACTGTTGTGCTATGATTGTTCGATTCAACAGAAATGTACACACAGTTAATGCTCATTGGTACACTGCCTATGAGTCAGTTTGACAATATGCTTTGTGCTATCTATTCATGTTCAGTAATGTCAAATTCTATAACATTATGTTGGAATGACTTTATAATCACTAACAAATTTGAACAACATGCATCAGTTTTGCCTGAAACCAATCTGCCACCAAGATGCCAGAAATGCTTCATCAGGCATTTAGTAAATATTCTTTGACTGTACAGAGGTTTTTGAGTGGTTCAAATGTTTCAAGGCAAGTCAAGTGTCAGTTCAAAATGGTGAGCATTTAAAGTGACCCATCACCATAAAAAAGTCAAAAAATGTAAGAATAAAAACGTAATTTAATATACTCATCCAAGAGAACTGTTACTGAAGAATCTATCAGCTCCCTTAAATGGAATCTGTTATATTGTCTGCCAGGAGATCCTCACAGAAAACATGAACATCTTCTTTTATGTGCTGTGTCCCTTCAGGATGTAGCTGATCATGGCTCTCCACATCTTCCTGTCCCTTGTAACTCTTATAAAGTTTGATCTTTTTTTTTATTTCTCCCAAACCCTTTTCTACCATCCATTTGCTCAAGCTCATCAAGTATGTTACACGCTGCTTTCCTATGTCCTGCTTTCCTTCAATCTGCCCTGTGAGTATCAGATTTTCTGAGCCCTCTTTGCTATAAAGTTATTTGCCCAATTCATGACACTGGGTCAAAATCTGTGCTGTATGTCTCGGTTAACATGAGAAAAGCTAAAACGATGACAAAGATGGCAAAGCTCAGTATAGTACTTTTTTGATTTTTCAAACTTCAATGGTCTGTATATGAAATGAACATCAATGGTAACATTTCCTGATTACGCGACATCTTATTCTGTGGTTTTACTTTTCAGCATGCTTCTTTTTTTTATTATATTCCGTGATCTTAAAATAACCTCAAAATCAAATGATAAAACAAAAGAAGGTAGTGTTATTTGTTGAGGAGAATTTAAATGTTTATTACATGCTGCAGAAGAAAATTTAAAAAACATCATAGGGAAATATAGAGAAATCCACAATCAGTGATATTTGAAAAGTGAGGAAAATTTGAATAATTTTAAAACAGACAAAGTGTTAGAAATATCCAAATCTGTTAACTATATCTACATTAATCCAATTTCTGAAGTTCGTGGCAGAAAAATGTGAGGACAACCACATAGACACAAGAATTGACATATTTTCATCAAAATTATACTTGACAAAATCTTACTTATTATAAAACACAGATTGTGTGTGTGTGTGTGTGTGTGTGTCTGTACGTTTAAATGTGTATTTCCTACATTTTTCAACCAATTTCAACAAAACTTCACAGGACTACGTAAAATTACCTGGCGGTGGTTCTGACAGTGCCAAAAATTGGAAAAACACAATTGTTTTTGCATGAAATCAATTTGAAAACACGATTAAGAGGCATTAATGAAAGGGGGACAACTCATATCGAGTTATACTTATTATAAAACTCAGGTTGGTTGTTTGTGTGTGTGTTCATTTATCTATGGGATCGGATTTCCTACATTTTTCAACCGATTTCACACTTTTTTTTGGCAGGTAGTGTTTCTTATTGTCTTGCACAATTTTTTTCTTTATTTTTACATGGAGAATGCTTTAAAAATTCCATTTACAAGACAATTGTTTATAATAAAATTCTACTCAATCGATAGACTCATAACGATTGAAAACAATGTTTGAGTTTGGGTTTGACCAATTCATAAAAACAAAACAAGAAAAAAACTAATTAAGACATGCGTGTCCATCAACTTAAACAATAATCTTTGTCAATTTTATTTTTCAATCTTTATGATGGTTGATACTTGATCTGTCTCTTACTGTGACATCCCCGGGCAACGCCGGGCTCTACTGCTAGTCTTGAATAAATCATTTGAAAATGCTATTTGATGATATAAATGTTAAATTTCTTTTTGAAAATTTTCTTCATTAATTTTTTTTTCCATAATTTAATTATTCAGTTTTTTGAAATTTTGAATTATCCAAACATATTTTTCCAATCTCTGTCCCAATATGTCTGGATAATCAAGAAAGTACTGTAGCTGAAATAGATTTACTGGAGAAATTGGATTCTTTTTATTTTTATTATTATTATTTTTTTTCTTACTCTATATGTAATAAAGTGAATCAATAAATTTGTAGCCTGATACATTGCTATTAGCTGAATTTTGATTGATTAGTTTTTTATGGCTTATCAACCTTTTGCATGTTATTTAAAGCCAGAAAATATTTTGAAATTGTAAAAAAATCTTTTCGAGATAATAATCATTTACTGATACAAATCCTACTAATTAACCCATAGCTGAGGGGAGAAATAGATTCATACCTTTTCCAAGAGTATTTGCACATAAGTGAATATAAAGAACATGACTGGAATTTGGCTCTCTGATTTCCAAATTCTGGATAACAATCCATTACACCACCTGTTTATTTCGTATTCCCAAGCAGTCACACACTCTGGGGATTGTACAAGAACTCATGTTTTGACATGATAGGGCTGTAAGCCCAGCTGAATTTTGATCTAGAATTTTCACTGTATAATATTCACTCTGTATGATCCATATTCACAACTAAGTTGAGTGCATTGACAAAGAAGATTATATTCAAAAATAAATGATATCATACACTAATGTACTGTAACTAGTATCCTCATCTTGATTGTCATAATCATAATGTTTCGGCTGTTGTATCCTCTGAATCTTCTTCAGATGTCTGTTATAGTTGATATCTTTTTGGAAATTTGAGCTGAACCCTTTATTCAATCAATGGGGAAGATTATTCACATGCTACATAATGGATTATACGCTGAAGAGAGGATTTGGTTCAAAATTCCCAGATTACTGCCTTTGAACAACAGGTAAATAAAGCTAGCGGATATAATGGATATACAGGTTGAGTATCCTTTATCCGAAATTCCAAAATCTGATAGTTTTTCAGGTGCTGGGATGACGTGCCACAAAGAGAAAATTTCAGAAAGCACTGCAAAAGTTCCTCAGTGATGTGTAGCTGTTGTAAGTGACCTCATCTGCCCTCGGTGGGAGTTCCCCAGCTCAGCTACATAGCCTACATTGATGCCAGTTTTTTGTTAGCAATCATCATAGCAACTCCTTCATTCATGGATTACTTATCAGGTTTTTAATTCTCAGTAAAAATATTATTCAGAATGTCAAAAAGTCCTAAATTTATATAGTTTTTGTTAGTAGTGATCCCGTTTTTTTTGTACATGTACTGAAAGTAGGAAACATTATTTTTACATGAAATCTTAATTTCACTACTTAAAAATCCAAGTGAGCATTATATGACTAGTGCTATTACCTGTATTTGTATATACACAAAATTTATTAAATTTTATATCTGTTTCTTTTTGTTTTTATGGCTTATCAACCCCTCATGTGTCATTTAAAGCTGAGACATTCTTTTTTTTAATACCCAATCATATGGTATCAACTATTTATTTATTTTCTTCTTCTTTTTTTTCCATCACATGGTATCAGTAACTTTGGTTGGTTTAGATATTAGTTTTTATTTTTGTTAGATTTATATTTTTTGGTATAAACTCACTCTTGAGAAATACTCCATCTTTGCACTTTTAAAGAACTACCTTATGTTGTTTATATTGAAGAAAGTCTTCCTAGATGGAGCAAGAGCTGTACATTCAGTTAATACATGTTTTATAGTGTATGTAGATTTGCATATTGGTTGTTCTTCCCCTTTCAGTAGGTATGAGTGTGTAGTTCTTGTATGGCTAATGCACAAGCAGGCCAATACTACCTCTTTTCTGGATTTTCTGTATCCTGGCTTCCATTCACCAAGTATTGGCTTGATTTGTAGTAATTTATTTGGTGTGTTGTTACTCCAATGTTGTTACTATTTTTGTTTAATAAATCTGTTTATTTGGCTCTTCAGGTTTATGTAGAGGATCTTGTAAAGTTCAGGTTAGTTTCCATATTTTCAACATGTTTAACAGCTGCCTCAGCTTTATCATTTTCAATTATTCCAATGTGACTTGGGATCCAACACATCACAACATCTATCAACACGGATATTAAATGGAGTTTATTTAGAAAATTGATTATCAATGGGTTTTCATGTTTTTTGTTCTTTAGTGTTGTTAGAAT